TTGAGTACATAAATGCTGTGAATATGTTTACTATAAGATATATAATACAACATGAGGGTGCAATGTGACTTTTTTCGAGTTATATGTACTTTCTAAGATTATTTAGACACCGCTGACAAACGGTGAAGGAAAAACATCGTGAGGAAACCTGGGCTTATTATTTCTAATTATAAGTTTGAAATCGCCAACCCGTATTGAGCAAACGTGGTGATTAATACTCAAACGTTTTCGAAGAAACGTGTAGGGAGAAGCTTTGCTCAGCAGTGGACATTTATAGGCTGTTACATCAACAGCCTGTAAATGCTCCTACTATATGTACTAGTTATATTACAAAAAAATACCTTATTTTTTGGACTAAATAACATTTTGGTGAATAGTTTACCAAGTCAAAATTAAATTATATAAAATACTTGAAACTTTCAATCCAAACTTAGTCTTAAATTAAAATTAGTCTTTCAAACAATACCTAGGCCACTTAGGTACAGAAAATAACTCTCTTAGCCTTGAATAAACTTCTGGACAGTTATCGACATCTAGAAATTATTTGTAGGCCAACGGAGTACTTTCCAGATCCCTTTCATTTCATCAAAATCTAATTTTATTATCACATCAAGTTAAGAACAAGGTATATGACATTTTTGTCACGGATTTTAAGCGTCAGTGGCGCCATAACCGTGTTGAATTGTGGAACTATCTTTATTATAAACGTATCATACGTTTGATTATATTGTTTTAAAGAAAAATATGGTGGCTTCAAAACCATCGTTTTAATTTTATATCATTTTTTTCTGCTTTCTTTCATCGCAACGATAATTTCTCATTTAACAACAACTGCCATGACAGTTCACAACTGGAATATAGACCATATGACTGTTTACCATTATCTACAGGTTTTATTTTTTGAGGAGGAAAAGTCGTCCACTGATAATCTACACACTTGGTAGTTGAGTTGAAGACCGTAAGACAATTTGAAGGTTCAGAAACTATATAAAAAAGCAATGTTACCCGGAGAACGTTAAAGTTTACCAGGGCTCCGTCTCGAAGTGCAGGAGTAGAAACGGGGTGGTTTTTAGTCAGTAAGAGTCTGACACTCCCTCCCGCCTCGCCCAGGTGAGAGAAGTAATTCGATGATTTTCCCCCCTTAAAAAAACCCCGGTATCCGTCAATATATAGTCCTTCCCCTATCGGGTTTTACAACGCCCGTGCGTACCACGGGTGTTGTAAGATGACAACAATGTAGCCTACTCTGTAAATAGTACACGTCTTACATCTAATCCAACTAATATTATAATGCGAAAGTTTGTAACTTTGTGTGTACCTTCGTTTGTTTATCAATCACATCAAAATAGCTGATATTTGTAATAAGGCTCATTATGATCTGAAATAAGACATAGGGTACTTTTTAACCCCCGGTAACGAAGGCAAAGACGTTAACTGAAGTTAGTAACTAAATATCTCTTTATAGGTACTAATCTAATCGACCTTAATTCTTTACTAATAAAGTACCAATTCAGAAGCTTACTTTAAATGTGTAAAACACTTGAACAAAACAAAACAATTTGATTTATACTCAAACTGTTAGAAACTATGTCAGTTACCACGTTCTTAAGTTGACCATTAAACTAATAAGTTAAAATTGTCGGCTAACAAAGTAGAGGTACTAACTTAAGCAGGGCCGTCTTAGACTACGCTAGGGCCCTTCGGGGGCAAATGGAATGCTTTTTTAAACGTTGCCTCACACTATGATTTTCTCCTGTATCGTGAGTGCGTTAACAAACATACAAGTTCACATACACATGACACACAGACCTGGGTGCTTACTCTTGAAACCAATCTCAATGTCAATGCAATTTTGATTCAAGAATATGCACCCTGAAACAACAATTTGTGGAGCACACAAAGATTTGCTCTGTGCGGGAATCGACCACGCTATACGTGTAGCGGGTGTGTGTCTGTCGTAAAAATTCTCCTTCAGGGCCCCCTTAGGATGGGGACCCAAAGACGATACTGGTTACAGGTAATATTAAATTAAAGTTAAAAACTTTGCGATCTAATAAAAACTTTAAGAAAATCTTTCGTTCCTTTTGTAAAGTTTAAAACAGTTATTGAGTTACATAAATAGACAACTATGATTAGTTGATTACCTAATGATCATCAACAGCCTATAAATGCCCACTGCTGACCAAAGGCTCTTCTCACACGGGCAATTTGAGTATCAATCACTACGCTTGCTCAATACACGTTGGCGATTTCAAACTTATAATTAGAAATTATAGTTTTTTTTTATGTAGATCACCTGATGGTAAGCAATCGGCGTCGCCCATGGACACCTGGAACACTAGAGGCGTTAGAAGTGCGTCACCGGCTTTTTGGGGATTAGGAGTTTGAGGATCGTTGGGGATTCAGGGATTGGGGAGATTGGGGAAGGGGAAGGTAATTGGGCCTCCGGTAACCTCACTCACATGACGAAACACAACTCAAGCGTTGCTTCACGTCGGTTTTCTGCGAGGCCGTGGTATCACTCCGGTCGAGCCGGCCCATTCGTGCCGAAGCATGGTTCTCCCACACTTGAGATTACAAGTTCCAGGTTTTCCCACAACGTTTGTCAGTGGTGTCAGAATCATCTTAGAAATGATTTAAGAACCACACGTCTTGATCCCCGAAAGGTAAGATACAATATAACACTCATTTTTCATCAGTTATATTAAATGAGGCTCATGTAACATAACATAACATAACATCACGCTTTTTTATCCCCGAAGATAGGCAGAGATGCACATTTACGACACTTAATGCCACTGTACAATGTAACACCCAATTTTCACTATTTATGTTATGAGTCCCATGTTATATTGGGTTAGCCTGTTACCATATACCGGGCACATTTCCAGACTCCGTGCTACTACTGAGATTTTTAAAAACCCAGTTATACTTTGTACAACTCGGGAATCGAACCCGAGACCCCTTGCCTGGCAGTCGCACTTGCGCCCATACGGCCAACGAGGCAGTCCTTATGTAACAGTGGCGAGTATATTACCATTGAAAAGGTTTACTTCCAAACTGTAAGCTATTACTGAGTGATATTCGAAAAAAGGTCAAAGAAGTCTTAACGTTTGTCGAGAATCAATCCCCGAGACCCCTTAGCTCGGTAGTTGAACTTGTGACCACTCGACTAATGAGAAATTCAAATACCTAATTTAAGGTAAATGAAACGTAAATACACCAAGTAAAATTTTTAAGAAATTAAAACCTGATTCCTACCAATCTCTCTGCATATAACAAGCGCGATGATTATGTCCCACAGCAAACTTGATCAGCAAAGCGTCAAAGGACGCTTGGAGACTAGTTACAACTTTAATCGAATTAGGAACTTCCTAATACCAGCCACGAGGCCCTACTTATTTCAAAGTGAGATGAGAAATATCTCCAAGATAGGATCTGTCGGGTGTAATAAAGCTGGTAGTTTTTCTCTTGGAATAGGGATGTTGACAGGGTACGAAAATTCAAAATGTATTTAGTCCGTCAGTTAGATAATGAATACATATTAGACGGGTGAAGGTGTGTTGTGGAGGCTCGGCTTTAAAGCCTTAAACACAGGCGTAAAGTCGCAAGCCTTTCGGTCTTCTATCGGATCTATTTCTACTTCAGACGTAAGATAAACACTAATAATGATAAATTTAATGAAACAGATATAATTAACATCAGTTTAGCATCTTATAAAATGAAATTGCGCAATCAACTCCTAAAGACCGCATGCAAACATTTGACTGCAAGTACTTAAGTATTCTGTTTAAAATAAATTGTGAGTAGGTACTGATACTACACTATTTAAAATTGCATGGAACTCGAAGTCTTTTTTAACCCTATTGTTTTCATATGTAAGTTATTTTTACGTGACTGTTTGTTTCCTAAATAAAATAAAAATAAATAAACATTTAGGTGAGAGTGCATGGGTATTGCACAACCTTATTCCCCCTGGTCCGTTTTAGCACTATACTACCAGACAAACGACAACGATACGTCATATGGTGGACATTCCACCCATTCACACGAAGTGTTTCGCGTCAAGCTTCATAGTGCGAACAGCTAAGGAATGGAACTCCATGCCAGAATCTTTGTTTCCCGACAAATATAACTTGGGTGTCTAAAGTCCCGAGTGACGTACTTTTTTATTTTGTAGTAACTATATGGTTACAATACTTAGGTAAGGTAAAACGAAACTAAGTTTAGGAGCTATAACGTTATTTCTACGTACAAAATGTCAGTAGATGTGCCGTCACGCGTCAATTACGCACATTTCAATCCACATACATACATATATCGTCGAACGTATGATATTTCTGTTAGGCTATAAAAAAATATGTGTCAGAAGTGTAATACGTAAAATTTAAAGGTGACTTACTGACTGACATAGTGATCTATCAACGCACAGCCCAAACGACTGGACGGATCGGGCTGAAATTTGGCATACGACACGACTAATACGACCGACACGACCGACACACCGACGCGACATTCACGACATATGCGACCTACACGATCGACACGACAAACACGACCGATACGATCGACATGACAAACACGACCGATACGACATATACGACCGACACGACATATACGACCGACACGACATATGCGACCAACACGACATATACGACCGACACGACATATGCGACCAACACGACATATGCGACAAACACAACCGACATGACCGATTCGACAGATACAACCGGCACGACATATAAGACCAACACGACAGATACGATCGACACGACCGACACGACAAACACCACCAAGTCACCACAAGTATAATTGCTATTGCTAGGTTGGAGGCGTGCTTATTAGACGTGCGATGACCTTAAGCCTACAAAGCGACCACTGCTGAGTATAAGGGTAATAAAGAGGTTCATTGTTTTCAATCCCAAACAGACAATTACAGTAAATGGAAAAAACTCTAACCGCCATTCAAAAAGAAGAATTTGCCTGTCATTAGAATGTCAAGAAATCAAAATTTTCATTCAGGTTTATATTTAATTTACAAATTAAATTATTGAAATAATAAAGGAAATCTTGTGTACTGCGGTTTTTTTGGAAAATGACTTGACTTTCACAATTTTTTGGTTAGTACTTTTAATGACTATTTCTTCACGTATTATTTAAACACCTACTTTAATGTAAACCTTTTAGGAGTAGGTGTCTAAATAAGAAACTACGGCTTTGAATCGCTGAGTACACCCAAAAATAACTCGGAGAATGGATACAAAACTTTAGTTTTATACTTTCTATGTAGATAGAAGATAAATATTTTGTTGTACTACATATTTTATCGTAATGCAAAAGCCACATAGGAACACAAGGTAAAACAGACCAACTCGAAACGTAATCTTTATTTTTATTTACATTCACGCCCTCTATGCAAAATACCTTTAAAGCCCTAATACCCTATGATATGTTCCTTTCGAAAGAAAATTCTTCAATTTACCTTTTAATATTTATATCTAAGAGTAAAGTGTACAAGCTAACTCAATTAACATTAGTTTTAATATGCGACAGAATTATTCGTAGACGAAATAAAGATATCACACACACATAGGATAAAAGAAAATGACAAAGATGAATAGAATACAAATATTTTTGCTTACAGAAGAGGAGAGAAGATTAAAATGGGTAAAAGCCTTTCTGAATCGAAGAACAAAGACAAGGATGGCGAAACAAAAGTACTATTCAAAAAGTCAAATACTGCATTGTTCTCACATTCAAGAACAGTCTCGGGAATCTCCCAATCCTATTCCAGAAGTGGAATGCTGCAGATAAAGAAAAATCTAGATAATAATCACAATTACTATGAAGACCAAGGAAAGCTTAAAAGGGATTTGAGTCTGGAAACCGATATTTGTATCTTAAGAAGGTATTATAGAAGTAGGAAAAACAAACTGTCTACTCGAGATGGCTCTGCTAAGTCCAGATACTCTACAGTAGTTGACACTGAGGTAGATACTATAGATGAGTTCCCTGATACGAGCGCTTGTGGAGACAATGACACAGAAAATAAAAGCCATACGCCATTAGACATAGCTTCACTCATGATAGACAATTTGAAAGACTTACTAAATCAGTGGATTCAAGAACATCTCATAGGGAATAAAGACAACAAACAGAAGATTGATTCAGTAATTCATTCTCTTATTGAAAAGTTTGACAGAAATAAAGCATTAACTTCATCATCTGGTTCTACTTATGTATTACACAAGGAAACTACTACCCATGAAGTGAAAGATAAAAAAATAGCAACCCCATCTTTCACTTGTGATTATTGCAAACAAAATGCCCGAACTGTGAAAGTCGGATCTTCAGCCAATAATACCAATAAAAGAGAGTCTTCAACGCTTACCATTCCCTTCAAATGTAAAGATATAAAAATAATATCTACTTTGAGCATACCAAGAAGTTTTCATAAAAGAGGAATGGAAGAACACAAACCACGCGGCGGTTCTTGGTATAAGATGAAAAAAATTAAACATAAGAATATTATTCTCTCCCTTGATAAATCAAACAAAATGATCGATTCGTCTAGTTTCGATTTAGTCGCAATTTCAACAAATACTCTTACAAAACAATGTACCAATTACGATGTACACGTGAAAAAGAAAAAACGCCATATCGTATTTTTCCCGAAACCTCTTTATAAAAGTGCAACTGAAAGTTCAAGCATAACAAATAATGAGCAAATTCAACTAAAAAACATTAGTATGAATAAGGAGCAGCTAGATGACATGCCAAGCCTCATGAAAAGTCTTTATACTACTGAACTTGAATTAGCTAACCTTGACAAAAACATTCAAAACAGTACTAAAAATGATAACTGTACGATGACTGAAACTAAATCTAAAACTATCAACAAAATGTCTACAGAGACGAACATACCAAATCATATTTACATTCAACAAAGCACTGAAAAAAGTATATATGAAGGACATCAAGGCGAAATGGTTGCTATCGATTATTTGAAAGATCAACAAATAGAGTTTGCTAAGATTAAACAATCCAAAAGTCCAAATATCAGAAACCAAATAACAGCTAAGAAAAACTACAAGAAAACTTTGATCAAAGGTAAACTTAACAAACATAGACGACGGTTACCCAACAAAATACAACAAAATGTTAAATTGCCTGAATGCAAAAATATTAACAATCGAAAATTTACATTTCTTTACAAGAAAGCTAATAACCAAATAGCTAGAGGAAAAGAATTCGTTAAATATTGTCAAAACTTATTCGAATATTTTGATGATTATGATACAGACAAGAATATTAAATTAGATATACGCATTAACGTGTTCCCGACGTGCGAAAATAAAACAAAAGACGTGTGTACGGATATCAGCAACCAAGCATTGGGTGTTTATGATATAAAAGGTGGACCGACTTTGTTATACAATGTTGAACCGACACAAGTAAGTACTCCTGAGAATATGGATCAGGATTCTATGAAATCACACACAGAAAATGACAGCTCCTTTGGTTTTACACCAGAAATCATTCCACTCCTTGACGGGGCTGTAAGTCAAGCTAAATACATATTTGACGACAATTCAAGAGACAAGCTCGAAGAGAACTCTAAACAAAACAGTGTAATGGAGCGTAGCACCCTGACAAGCGAACTAGAAATTGTACAAGAAATCAGTGAACTACGTGCGATTATAAAAGACTTAGCTGCTGCTGCAGAAAAATTTGTGAGCGAACAAGTAAAGAGAGACTCGAATAAATCGAATGCCGGAACTTACATGTCTCCACAAACCAGCAATAATTTTACATCTAGCTCTAAAGTACAAGCTGTTGTAAGTCTGAGAAATCCATCAAAAGCAGTACAATATTCGAAAGAGTTTACGGGTAAACAAAAACTCATATCGGGAGTCAAACTAAGTAAAGAACCTAAGAAAAAAGACACGTTTGAATATTACAATAGACTTGCGAAGAAGAGCACGTCTTACCGTATTATTGACAGTGAATCTATTCTCAGAGTAACAGATATGACATCAAAAGCAAATGAAATTCAAAATAAAATAAATGAACAAAACTCAACTCGCCCTTTGCTTAACACACCTAGATCCTTATTTGAAATGCCGGGGGATCAAAGGAACAAACGGAAATTTATAACATTATTCTGCGACGGTTATCAGAAAAATATTCGATATAATGTTTGTAGCATCCACAAAAAAACGTCAGATTGTTCACGTTCTTCGTATTTTAGACGTAGTAGGCGCCGCAATAAAAATTGGTTTGCACGAAAAAAGAAGGAAAGGATTGTGTGTGACAAAGCCAAACCACAATCTAACCAACGATGTCCAAATGACTCGTCAGAGCTAACGTCAGAGCCTGCTACTCTAGTCAGAACACCTTCTTGTATCTGTCCTACTACCAATGGCTCTGTGGATCGTGATCGTGAATATGTACAAATGCTAATTCCAGAAGGGAATAGTTTTAAATATTCTTCGACGATGGTGTTTCCTGCCAGGGAAACCGAAGAAATTGAAATTGAAGACGAGCAAACAGCTACCATTGATGAAATGCAAAAAATTCGTAAAGTACGCAGAGGCATGACTTTTGGTGAAGGTTGTGTGTACTGCGTGTTACTCTGGATTCCTGTCATAATTATTGCTTGCTTGTTTTATGTGTACGTTTTGAAAGATAAAGTGAAATCCCAACTAGAAGAAGGAATACATACTTCTGCAAGTACAGGAGTAGTTATACCTGTGCCGGCGCCTGGTGGAAATTCTTCTTCATCGTCTTCGGTTCTCTATGTGAAACTACGTGATCTGGGATTTTAACATACATTTGTTGTTGTGATAGATTTTTTTTACTTTTTACTGCATTAAAAATCGGTTTTCTATAGTTCGCGTTTTTTTTTCTCCATATATTTCAGGGAAGACTCATTTGAATACAAATAATAGTATTTACTTCGTCTAGTACTTCATGTCCTTTTTGTTTCAGATAACTCATATTATTCTAAATCGATATGGAACCAGCTAATCAAGAACCATTAACGAAAAAAGGAAAAAGACCAAAATCAGCCACAAAATATCCAAAAAGGATGCCAACTTATGTCGTAGCATTTGAAATGCAGGAGTTGCATGATGCTCCTTTTAACCCTCATCAGATTACTCAAATACACAATGTGGATAGCACGAACTCGATTTCACCATCAAGCTCCAATAACTCAACAAAAACATTCACTATAACTCCGACTGAAAATTCTTCTCGAGTTTTAGATATACCAATTATAAGCGAAGTAAAAATTGATATTTTAGACGAAAACCAATGCGGAGATATGGAAAAGAGATCGCCTCAACTAAGCAGCTACATTCTAGTGGGCAATAGATTGGCAGATGAAAAACCCGAAATAATATTCAACGCTACAAAACATGGCAAAAGATGTAAAGACAGCAACAAGTTGCCAAGAAAGAAATTAAAGAAAAATAAACACATCGCCAAGTTCAAGAACATACATTTTAAATACAAAAATCCTAAAAAGAATATCAGAAGACGACTAAAGAAGTATTATCGAAAAGCTAAGATGGGTTCACGTGCAATATCAAAAGTTGTTTCCAGATCTTTATTGAAGAAAGTATTAGCTAAAGAAAATCTTCTAGATGAATGCGATGATGATTGTATTTGTGATGGTGATGATTCCCTCAATTCTTCACCATCAACCACGAAGAAGTCATTTATTAGCTACGCAAGCCATAAAACGTTAAGACCTATAAGTTCTACATCATCAAGGGCTGATGATTTTAACAGCATAAAAACTGTGAACTCTGTAATCCAAGTTTCCTCAGACATAATAACTTCTAATTCAGATTCCACACCTTATCACACAAATATCATCGATTTAGCTGTGGCTGTAACTTTTAGTGGAACGAAACCAAATGATAACCAATTTATTGCCAACAGTTGTGAGACAATAATTATGCACAAGGAGAATTTAACCAGCGATGAAATGTTTTTGCAGCCTGATATTAGTCTAACTTCAAAACCACCGTCACAGCAGAATAACTTTAAAATTGAAATCAGTAATCTGTCTCCTACGGATCAGAACGAGGACAACATGAGTCACGACACTCTGATTGGCGAAAGGACATCTGTTTTAGTATCCAGTGATGAAAATTTCGTTATTGCTCGAACTAGCTCTGATTTTAATAAATTGAGTATAACTTCTAATTATACGTACACTTCAAATTCAGATACAACGCTGCGTAATGAAACTTTGCCTCCCGATTTGCCTACTAAGGAAGAACTTGCTAGGAGAACTGCTATTTTAGACAAGGTGATAAACCTTGGATATTATCCAGTAATCACACCTTCCACTAGCTCTGATGCAAATATTAAATTAAACGATGTCATAGTTACAGATAATTTAAAAAGATATCCAAAAAACAAAGGGGACGAGGTCGAAATAGATTTACACACGAATATGTTGAAGCTGAAAAAATCGTATGAAATAGAAAAATTGACATGCCTCCAAAAAAACATCAGTTTACCTAATGACATAACAATTAAAGCCAAAATCAAGGAATCGGAAAAATCACAAAAACGATCGTGTGCTGACGAGGTTAGGGTTAAATATCCTACAGATATGAATGATATGTGGGAACGTCTGACATTAGTATTAGATTTGGCTGTAAAGAGATTGGAGGAAACCCTAGCTGAGAAAATTGTTAACGATATAAAACGATTATCGGTCTTTAACCAAAATGAAAGTAAAATATTGAAACTGGATAACCAAATGGACAGTTCCACTCTTACACAAATAAATTGTGAGCGCCCTACACCACACATGGTCCACAAAGAAGTATTTGTAGCACAAAACATTTTGAAAGAAGACATCGATGGAAGTGTGCAGTGTAATCTAGTACAGAATCAAGTAATAGATCAATTGATGTTTAAACTAAGCATTGAAGGACCAAAGCCAGTTTCAGACGTTTCTATAAAGAAATTGAAGAAGACAGAAATAGTAAAGGATTATTTTGAAATTTTAAAGCCTCCAGCTACTGCTAGCGTTGCTATGGAGGCGGGTAGAGGTGACATAGTAACGGTTTCTACTGCGACTGAAGAAATCTATGCTTCAGAGAAGATTTGCCGTCTGAAGGGGATGCTGAATGCTTCTATGACATTCTTGAGAGAGAACATGTTCATAATTACTAGTGTGCCTACGTTTTTCATTGTTATGTTGTGTTTCTATGGCATTATTGTAATTACTCTGAAGACTTGGTAGTTTCGGTGGGTGATTTTTGTGTTTGATTTTTTCCTTTATTTTTCGTCTATGGTAGTTTTTATTTCTTATTCAGTATATTTTCCAATAATCTTATGCCAAACCAATAATAAATAACTAACTCGTTGGCCGAGTTGGTCGTTGGTCGCAAGTGCAACTGCCGGGCAAGGGATCTCGGAATCGTTTCCCGAGTCGGGCAAAATATTATTTAAAAAAATCTCAGTAGTAGCACGGAGTCTGGAAATGTGTCCGGTATATGGCAATAGGCTCACCCCCTATTACATGGGACTCATAACATAAATAGTGAAAAGTTAGTGTTATATTGGACAACGGCATTCAGTGCCGTAACGTGCGCCTCTGCCTACCCCTTCAGAGATAAAAGGCGTGATGTTATGTGTTAATAGTATAATTTAGTTACACACAGCATTGTTGGGTTACTTTCTATTCTGGGATTCTCTGGAATTCTGATATTATTACTATTAGTATCAGTATCTAGTGTGCGTTACCCCAACAAGAAAGTATCTCCTAGAGATATATGAGTAGAACGTATAGTTGGTGCCTTATCTGCTGTAAATGTGCCCCACTTAAAAAATGTGTGCCCCCTGTCGTTTTGAAAAAAAAACGGAAAAATGATTCTTGCTGGGGTAACGTTTTTCTAGCAGGAAAATTCTAAACGAGTGATCGGAGAGAGAAAAAATGTGCCTGGCCAGAGAGCTTATATGTGTGCCACTATGTGCCCCCAAAAATAAAATCTGTGCCCCTTCAGATTTTCGGGATATTGCGTTTCCTGCTGGAGTAACGTTTTGATGAATCGTATATCTCTAAAACCATTGCATGTGCCCCTGTAGAATAAACATACACGAGTAGCTCTTAATGTGTGCCCCTGTGTGCTCCAATTAGATTTAAGGAAATATTTATAGTTTTCAAGTTACCGCGGTTTTATGAAAATCCGAAAAAACATCGCAGCGCCTAAATGAGACAAGGTATAAGTTCGCTGAAAACTGTATTCGGTCCTTCTTGATGCTAGTAATAACCATACAAAGTTTCAAAACGCTTCATGCATGCGTTTTTGAATAATCTTGCTACAAGTCAAGACGATGGTGTCATAACTTTGACGGCAAAATACAAGGAAATGGCTAAATCCCAGATGTGTAGGTGTAAACCAAAATCATGTGCCTTTAATCAAAAATATGTGGTGAAAATATTAAGCTTGGAATGTTTCGCATTAAGTAAATATGAACAAAAAACCAAATTAAGTAAACAACGGCTGGTTATCCGACCAAATTTGAATGACTACTAAAAAGCGACGGATTCATACATATCGATGACCTTCTTTATTGGACGTATTATACCTAAGCTGTTGTCCGTGCAGTTGCGTTCAAAAGTTTTGGGGGCTAATTAAAAAATATTTAACCATATTTAATTAAAAAATATTTATTTAAAAGTATTTAACCATGTGGATATCGTCTCCATTGTATGGGATTCGGAGGCCATGTAGCACATTGGTACACTGGTATCTCTACTGTAGGCAACTACTGCATATAAAAATAAATGCTTAGGAGTGCGATATTTTAATAAATCATTAGAAGGTGGTGGCTCAATTGGCTGAAATAAGGAGCCAGTAGCATCAACAGAAAGTATTTTCTAAGAGTACTATCTAAAAAAAAAGAACTTCTAACTCGACGGTCCACAATGGAAATTTTAGCCAAAATACTTAATGAAAAAAAACCCAACTATTTCATAAGGTACAAGTATTTGTAAATAAGTCAAAATAATGATATTAAATACTTACCACCGCAGATAGTGCACTGAAATTCACCATAACAACCACATAATTGTTATAAAATGATTAAATACGCCACTTTCAACCAACTAAAGTAAACAAACAGTATAAGTGCAACTGCGTGACTCAACATAACAGTGTCCTTGGCGTCATTACATAACTGCAACTATTTACCAATAAAAAGAAATATCTAAACGCACTTCCTAGTCAATAAACACTTTGTACCTATTATTCACTAGTAGAACATAATCCAATAACAACTTGATTTTATTATTTATTACTTTTCTACTTCAGTGTACTCAGGCACAACACGTGTGAACCGGTTAGTAAGTAAAATAAAGAAGATTATCGATATGTATGAATCCGTCGCTTTTTAGTAGTCATTCAAATTTGGTCGGATAACCAGCCGTTGTTTACTTAATTTGGTTTTTTGTTCATATTTACTTAATGCGAAACATTCCAAGCTTAATATTTTCACCACATATTTTTGATTAAAGGCACATGATTTTGGTTTACACCTACACATCTGGGATTTAGCCATTTCCTTGTATTTTGCCGTCAAAGTTATGACACCATCGTCTTGACTTGTAGCAAGATTATTCAAAAACGCATGCATGAAGCGTTTTGAAACTTTGTATGGTTATTACTAGCATCAAGAAGGACCGAATACAGTTTTCAGCGAACTTATACCTTGTCTCATTTAGGCGCTGCGATGTTTTTTCGGATTTTCATAAAACCGCGGTAACTTGAAAACTATAAATATTTCCTTAAATCTAATTGGAGCACACAGGGGCACACATTAAGAGCTACTCGTGTATGTTTATTCTACAGGGGCACATGCAATGGTTTTAGAGATATACGATTCATCAAAACGTTACTCCAGCAGGAAACGCAATATCCCGAAAATCTGAAGGGGCACAGATTTTATTTTTGGGGGCACATAGTGGCACACATATAAGCTCTCTGGCCATGCACATTTTTTCTTTCTCCGATCACTCGTTTAGAATTTTCCTGCTAGAAAAACGTTACCCCAGCAAGAATCGTTTTTCCGTTTTTTTTTTCAAAACGACAGGGGGCACACATTTTTTAAGTGGGGGCACATTTACAGCAGATAAGGCACCAACTATACGTTCTACTCATATATCTCTAGGAGATACTTTCTTGTTGGGGTAACGCACGCCAGTATCTATAGCGTTCCTCAATATATCATTGCTTCCTCAATATATATCAACTGTTGCTCGCGACTTCATCCGTGTAGAATATGATTCCTGTTTTATTCCATGGGAGCATTTAATCGGAGTTTTTATCGTCGCCGGACCAGACCCGAGCGTACGGCGCGTCGCGTTCTGCGCGCGCCTTAAAAGAGCCATCTGACCACCACGGGTAGGACCCTATAGGGCTGATGTCGATACGGAGTCGCGGAGAACTTAACGGGTTACCGGGGCTCCGGCTCGAAGTGCAGGAATAGGAACGGGGTGGTTTTTAGTCAGTAAGAGTCTGACACATCCCTCCCGCCTCACCTAGATTGCGGGAGACAGCATTCGATGATTTTCCCACCTTAAAAACGCCTAATTCAGCCCATACCCTGCCTGTATACAAAATTTCATCAAAATCCTTTCAGTAGATTCAGCTTTCACATTTATAATATAAGCTTTCATAAACCTTCATAACGTTAAATCTATAACAATTGCAAATTTTAACTTTTGACCCAAAAAAAAAGTATTTCTTTCGTAACACAAAATTAATGTGACCACTCAAACATCAGTAAAAATCGGTCGTAAATACAAAAAACTCGAACTCCCCCTCACAAATTAATATAGAAAGCAATTATAAACTTTAATGTTATATACTTTGGTCGTAAAATTCTTCAATATCGTCAAAAATATCATTAATTCGACCATTCAGTTCTATATTAAATTCAATGCGCAACTCAGTAAAGAACTACTTCTCATTTTTTTAGCATTTTGGAATTATGTACACTAAAAATCTGCCGAGAAATGAAAAAAAAACACATTAAAAATAAATTAATACATTTATTTTTATACAACACATAAACGTATGCGTTTGGTAAACATTCCCAACAATATTTGTATTTATTTATCAATCAGATGGATTTACAGATTTCATTATTTTACTGATAACTGTAGATTCTTTAGTACATCATCTTAATGATATGAACCAAGTTATTACTGTTTTTATATTTAAACAAAGAAAGTAAGACAGAATAGGTTCGTCTACTGGTCTATAAATAGATCTTTAAAGGTAATACCACTGACTTTCTTACATTTAAATAGAATATGACCATCAGGTGAGCCCTATAGCGGTACAATAAGTGAATCACTAGGTTTTAAAAAAAATCTTCAAATTCTATTAAAAAAAGTATTTTTGGTTAATGAAAACCTTTTTTTTATGGTCAGCAGTGGCGCTGCTATCGGTTTTAATGTCATCAATACAATCAATATCACTGTTTTTTACAAAAAAATTAAGAAACAGTGATATTGATATTGAACATATGTTTGTGTATGTAGTTTGTATCAAAAAACTAGATCCATCCATGGTCTAATCCGTGGATCGATCCAATCATTTTGGATCAAGTTCGGTAATTAATTTTGGCGGTCTTCAACACCAGCGCCACTAGTGACTATTTTAGGTACAATCGCCCTCGAAAAGTTGTCTCCCCCTTATTCGTTGAAAATTCGTTTAGTTTATTGTCCTTGCGCCAATACTAAGTGTCCAGAACGGTCCAGGGTGAATACTGGACGAACTCGACGACTCCTGTAATGAACAATAGATTTTTTTGAACTGTAATTTTCAATATAATTCGATATTCAGAAAATGTAAATAGGACTTTCGAGTCTAAGACTTAGACTTTAAGTCTAAGAGTCTAAGACCGAAGCAACTAATAAATGGATCTAGGGTTGGCATTTGCTAAAAATAAGTTTCCAGGTTATTAGTTGAAGCCAAGGTGTCCTCTCTCACCCCTTTTTATTATGGACCTTATTTTCAATGTTTAAAGGTTACTTTCGTATGAATTTTTTATGAAACAATTTGGTAAACTATTATAGATGGGGTTTGTCCTAACTTACCTCAGTTTGGCACTCTTCTTTCTAGTTCCATCGGCGATCGCTACTGCTTGGGCGACGACAGGACCATCTTCTGTCACCTCCTTTAAATAAAATGGAGGTTTTAATATAGATTTAGTTGTCCCGCCAGGTGGCGTTGTAAAGAAAATACACTCAGTGAGACGCTCGACAAACATTTTATAAAAATAATTAATTAACGTTAGTGAATAATCCAAAAGTGTACATATATAAGATCATAGTGATATAAAGAACATAGCAAGCAGTAATATAAAGACAGTGTATAACTTGAAACCAGTAAAACCAGATAATTATTTAACTTAACGTACAAAACTCAAAATACCTGCGTTATTAAAAAAGCAAATTAAACATTGTGAAACTTAAAACATGATCAGTGTTAATATGATATAAATGTATAGTATGGTGAACAGATTAACAAATGGAAGTTACTAGCTACGTGTAAAACTAAACAGATTTAAACAAATTTAAAAGTGAAATCTCAAAACAGGAGTAAGATAGCGCCATCTGTTATCGAGAACTTAAATTCCAAAATTAGTACCGAGTAACGACTAGAAGAGGGCATTCTCTAGGACCTAAATAAATTTTATTATTTTTTATAATCAATAATTACATCGATTAAAGTGAAATATGGCGTTACTATGTGCTGGATGCCTACAAAAAATCGCTAAAACACAGCAGTTTCTCTCGTGCCCGCTATGTCACGAGAATTATGACTTAGAATGCGCTAATATCACTCCGCAAAAATTCAAATTAATGTCAAAGGCACAGAAAACATTATGGAATTGTCAGTCCTGCCGTTGCAAAACCCCAAAGTCGGATAACATTAACACACCAATACGACCTCAAAATTTTCCTTCCTCGTCGGTCAACAAACCCTCAACTGAGCCAATGCGACAAAATACAGTATCTAGCAATAAAAGCGATGCTGATAACTTCGACGATGAAAGCATCGTGGATAACACACAAACTCCAAACGAAAACCTGAAAAATAACAATATTAGTCTGCAAATATTGGATAAAATGTTAAATGATAAGATTATTAGTCTCAAAAATTATTTTGCTAATGACATTAAACGAATTATATCAGAGGAAATATCAAAATGTATGCTTGGATTGAATTCTGAAACCATGGAAAGTACAAAAACACACGACCCCCTTCAAGAGAATACGTCTGTAATAATTTCTGAAATAAATAGTAAAATTTGTACTCTCGAAAGGGAAAATGAAAAGCTAAAACACGAACTTTTAGAGCTAAAAAACGTCTGCAAACTACCAAACATTGAGAACAAAATCTACGAAACCAAACTAAATGATACACGTAACAACGACAAGAAAATTGTCATATATGGTTTAAATGAATATCATTCGGAAACGGAAGAATATTTGCATTACAGAATTTCAACAATGATTCAGGAAATATGTGGCATAAATATCACAGGTTATGTGGAAGAAATAACCAGAATAGGTAGAAAGGGATATCGAAGACCTGTGATAGTTGAATTTTTAAGCAAAAGACTACCTAAGCATCTGCTCGAAAACCATCAATTGTTTCAAAACACAGGAATATCAATATCAGAATACCTTGATAGAGAAACTTTCCTCAAACGTAAGAAGCTAAGTGAAATCCTTACAGAAGCAAGGCGAAATGGACATCACGCCGTAATTAGGAAAAATAAATTACTAATTAATGGAAAGGAGGTTGATAAATCGCAGAACGAAAATTTATACACAAGTTACAATAATGAAACGTTGCCATATAATAACAGTGAGTATTATAATCCAAATTTAAGCAAAAGAACAATGATTCGCTCATCTCAGTCAGAAATTCAGCAATTACCAAACTATAAATCCAGGTCATATAATCATACAGAACATTCATTTCGCGAACAATTTTAAAATTTTATACCAGAATATACGTAGTATAAAAAACAAATACCACTTGCTACAGTCAATTATTGAGGAAGAGAAAGAAATTCAAGTCTTATGTCTCACAGAAACCTGGATAACCGAAAAAAAGATAGATCTATTGCATTTGGACGGGTATAGTGTCGCGTCAACCTACAACAGACAACAACACGAAGGCGGTGGTGTCTGTGTTTTAATTGAGGAGCACATCGACTTCATTGAGAGAACAGATATACTAGCCATGAGCATTGAGTATATATTCGAGGTATGTGCAATAGAATTAGTTAAAGAGAAAATAGTTATTATTGTTATGTATTGGCCCCAAAGAAACCGGGAATCTGACCTATTTTATAAAACTCTTGAAAATCTCTTGCAAACATTAATGATAAAAGATAGCAAAAAGAAAGTTATTTTGGGTGGTGATTTCAATGTTAATGTTCTGGAGCAGTCATATAGTAAATCGATTCTTCTAAACTTATTGAGTAGCTATAACTTTGAACAACAAATGAGAGAACCAACTAGAGTTACTAACAATAGTGCTACTTGCATTGACCTCATATTTATTAACTTTAAAGATAGTACACTCACAACGTCTTTAAAGGAATATGGAATATCCGACCACAAGGGAATAATAGTTGCAATTTCAATCAAATTAAAAGACCAAATAACATGGCAAGTAATTAAGCGGTCATTTAATGAAAAAAATATCAATGCCTTTAAAGCTGAATTAAACAATGTTTTATGGGGAACTATATTAACGGAAGACAAATGCCTTAACGAAAATTTTGAAAAATTCCACGACACAATATTTAAGATACTTAACAACTGCATACCTAAAACTCGTGTAATATTGAAAACCAAACCTAGAAAAGTACAATTAACGAAAGGATTAAAAATCTCTTGCAAAAACAAACGACTTCTAAAAATATTCGTTACGCAAAATAAAAATCAGATTTTAGAAAAACATTATAAATTATACGAAAAAACTCTCAAACGCGCAATTGTGAAACATAAAAAGTTGGATTACATTAGACTATTACAAAAAAGTAACAATATTACTAAAACAATGTGGCAAATCATAAAAGAAAAAACAAATAAAGTAATCATCAAAACAAAGAAAAACATTGGTTTGAAATTAAATAATAAACTTATATATGACCCACTAGTAGTTGCAAACAAATTCAATTACTTTTTCGTCAAGGTGGGGGGTGAACCAAGCACTCTAAAAGGCCGCCCCACAATTACACCTTCTGATAAATCTATATATTTAAAACCAGTTGATCCGTACGAAATTCATAATATAATATGCAATCTTAAAAATAAAAACAGCTTCGGACACGATGATTTACCCCCAGTATTGATAAAAAAGTGCGTCAGCAACTTTGTTATGCCTCTTGTATTTCTAATTAATCAATCGTTTGCAGAGGGTAATTTTCCAAATAAATTAAAAATTTCCATAATCAAACCCATACTTAAAAAAGGTGACCCGACTGACTGCACAAATTATAGGCCTATAGCTCTTCTGCCAACCTTCTCAAAAATATTCGAAACAGCTATGTCAAACCGTTTATACACCTACTGTGAAAAATATCAAATATTTGATGACAGTCAAAATGGTTTCCGCAAACAACGATCAACTACATACGCGGTTTACAAATATATACAACATGTACTTAATATTATAAATGATCGCAAATATGCAATCGGAATCCTTTTGGACATGAGCAAAGCTTACGATCGAGTCTCTTTTAAAATCCTCTTAAATAAACTGGAAGGTATCGGTGTCAGAGGAATCGTTCATAGATGGTTTGAGTCATATTTACACAATCGAAGCCAGTACGTAGAAATTGAGCACCATAACTCCAAAAGTGGCAGAATCACCCAGGTAAGATCTCAAGTAATAGATGTACAGAATTCCATCCCGCAGGGAAGTGTGTTGGGGTGTTTGCTGTTCTTGATCTACATAAACGATCTACCAAAAGTAATTAATGCTACAAGTACCCTTTTTGCAGATGATATATCAATTGTACTTCCTTGTAAAAATGAACAAAATCTAAACAATACATTAAATTCTTTATTTGTAAATATAACTAGTTGGCTGAATGATCATAATTTGCAAGTAAATTTCACAAAAACAAAACTCATGCAGTTTAAACCCTACCAAAAACGAAACCTATCTATTGATTTTGCGTTTAATAATGAGAGAATTGAAAGTACAAACAACTTTAAACTTTTGGGATTAAATATTGACAGTCACCTTGACTGGAAATCACACGCCCAGATCTTAAGCAGTAAACTGTCAAAATTCACTTACGCTCTTTACCATCTGAAAACATCAACGGACAAAAAAACTGCCCTCACTGCATATTATGCATATGCGCACTCATGGATGCGCTATGGCATTGCACTATGGGGTAATAGTACTGACGCAGATGACATATTTAAACTCCAAAAGAAATGCATTCGCATTCTGGCCAATGTTGGGGGAACACATAGCTGTAGACCACACTTTAAAACATTCCGTGTCCTCACTTTGACTTCTCTGTACATATTGGATTTGAGCCTATTTGTTTACAAAAATATTAATCTTTTTAGTCGTAACCGTGACCACTATTCGCAAGACCGTCAATTAAGAAATAGAAATAACTTATCGCTTCCTACCTCCAACTTATCAATATTTCATAAGGGCCCCTATTGCATGTCAATAAAAATTTACAATAAAATACCAAGTAATATAAAAAAAGAAACAAAATATACTACTTTCAAAAGAAAACTTTATGAGTATCTCATCGATAAATGCTATTATAGTTTGCAAGAGTTTTTTGAGAATAAACAACAAAACTAAAAAAAAAATAAAAAAAAAATAATAGCTATAAAAAGGAAAATGATGGTAATGATAATGAATAAATAAAATTGTGCAAATAAGGAGTTGGTAGATATGTTATGTAGAATATGAACGAAAATCAATTGAAGCAATTGTGGTAATACTTTAATAATATGTTATGTAAAATCTTTGAATGATGTAGTGTTTTTTTTTTTATTAATTAATATAAATTGCAGCGCCCTTACAGGGTCATGTTGATACTGCTTAACCAAAATAATTTATGTATTATGTATAACACCTTGGTAACCACACATGAAGCAATAAAGACTTTGAATTTGAATTTGAATTTGATTCAACTTCAAAGTTATTAAAATTTAAGTTTGCCTCGTTGGTCAAGTGAGTGAAATTGCAAAGTCAAACTCAAAATCATTTTCAATTTCAACTAAAGAAGGCACTTTTGAACGTCAAAACATAAAAATAAACATTAAAAATATCAGTCAGTCGGTCAGTCCTCTAGTGAAGCTATTTGCTCGTTCCAAGTGTAGATTTCTATGGAGAAAAACGAGCGAGAAACTCAATACGTTATTGTTTTTAAATCAGGTTCACAATACAATTTTAGTTAGATTGTTTCGTTGATTCTAAGGTTGGTTAAGAGGTAAGTATATGTTTTGATATCGTCATCGATTTCGATAATTTTAAATAATATAACTTATTCAGGGTTGTACTCACCCCTAAAACAATGGAGTAAAATAAAACTACAATAAGGACCACTTTTCATTAATCACAATTACAAAAAAGTATGGATAACATCACACATCTTCCAAAGTTACGCATTATTATAAGGACTCGTACACAAAACTGCGATGCGACGTCGCATCGCGAGAACTTGCGAATGGATTCCCATCGCGCATCAAAATCTATCTTTCCAAAATCTTCTTTGTTACTTTTTCCTGTATCTCCTAAGCAATAATATAAGATTCTTTTTACGATCTATGTCACGACCTAGTTTTCAATTTAAAATACGTTTAGTACGGTTGACGGTCGTCGAAGGAATGGTCAACCTGGGAGACTTATCGCACATAATCGCATCGCAGCAATTCGCATCGTAATTTTTTGCGTTGCGAATTCGCATCGCATTGCATCGCAGTTTTATGTACGAGCCCTAATGCTATCCGAAAAAAATTTAACTAAATAGACTTACCTCAGCGGTAGATTCAGTTGTGGTCACGGTTCTTGGAGCCGCCTGTACTCGGGGTACGGGGAATGGAGCGCCGTACTTAGTTTGCACACGGGGTTGAGTTCTATGGACATTAAAAACAAAACATGAATTAAAATATAATTAAATAGTTCAAAAAGATTTGAGTCCAGTTCTGGGCTATTCGAGAGACCTAAACGATGGAATGGCACCAATTATCAAAATATTTTATTTTGGTTTCAAAATGGGTTATTTAAAAGCGAGGACATTTTAAATGTAAAATTTGTTAGCCCCTGTTTATTGTGTGACTCAGGTTCCACGCAAACATTCATACAATTTAAACCCAACAGCTATTTTAGACAAACAAGCAGTATAGCAAATAATAAACAGCCTCATTATCAATGTGTAGGACGTATTACATTAAAATACATCAATATTCACCCTCAAATAGGGCAATGTCTGTATTGTTACAACAAAATTTACATTAACCACAACGCCGCTTCGATACGTGAGCGTGGTACAAGATTAAGCGCACACTATGCGACTTTTAACGCAGAATTCGCAAGGTCTTAAAAAAATCATGCCATGACTGCCTCATTGGCCGAGTGGTCGCAAGTGCGACTGCCGACCAAGGGGTCTTGGGTTCGATTCCCGGGGCGGGCAAAGTATTATTGGGTTTTTAAAGATTCTCAGTGGTAGCACGGAGTCTGGAATTGTGTCCGGTATATAGCAATAGGCTCACCCCCTATTACATGGGACTCATAATATAAATAGTGAAAAGTGGGTGTTACATTGTACAGTGGCATTAAGTGCCGTAATGTGCACCTCTGCCTACCCTTTCGGGAATAAAAAGCGAGATGTTATGTTATGTTAAAAAAATCATTGTAGATGGACGCTGATAAGTAAAATTGAAGTTGCAGAAATAGTAAGTGTCTAAGGTAACTGCCCAATGTGCATTTATAGTAATAGGTTTTATCTCTCATTTCAAAGGATTAAATGATCGTTTAAATAAGTCCACTGCTTCCTAACCTTTCGAGAAATAAAAGGAAAATGATGTTCTGGCCTTAATTGAAAATCATATCTAAAATCCATGTTTGAAATATCTATCGCTCTAAATCAATTCGTCATGCATACCAATATATTGGTCAACGTCAAGAATTTTCCTCAAAACCTAATTACATAATTTTCCTTCGACATTATTACCTATTCCATCCACATGTGGACCTTCGATTGCGACAAATATCAGTAACCTTCACCGACAATCGCCTATCTGCAACTACTCTTATCCTCTGATTAAAATTCTGTTGGAATTCTGACTAACCTTGTTCCAAAGGCTGTGGCTACGGCTGTAGCCTTGTTTCCTTCATCCTGATCTTCCTCTTGATCCTGAGGTTCCTCGATATCATTTCCCTGCTGGTTCACATCCAAACCACTCTGGAGAGCATCTGGACTCTGGCTTTGAGGATACTGGTTCTGTTGCTCCAATTGCCCTTGGAATAACTGCTGCTGGAATTGGCTCACGTCTTGCCCAGGGTAGCTTATGAGTTGAGCTTGGATATATCCTGGTTGCGGTTGGAATTGAGACTGGTATTGGTTCGCAGGGACAAGAAGTGGTTGTTGGTATAGTTGTGGTTGGTAACTGTTGTTGTCGTTACTCTCAGCGTCTTGATTTTCTTGGTCTGGTTGCGGTTGAGGCTGACTAGGTTGGTATTGGGCAGGCTGTGGCTGAAATTGGGCAAGCGGTGGCTGAAATTGGGCTGGTTGTGGTTGAAATTGAGCTGGCTGAGGCTGGAATTGCGCTGGCTGAGGCTGGAATTGCGCTGCCTGAGGCTGGAATTGCGCTGGTTGGGGCTGGAACTGAGCTGGTTGAGGTTGGAATTCAACAGTCTGTGGTTGATACTGATCAGGTTGTTGAGGTTGGAACGAAGCTGGTTGCTGAGGTTGGAAAGGAGCTGGTTGCAGCTGGTTAGCACCTTGAGGCTGCAATACTACTGGCTGAGCAGAAAACTGAGGAACAGGTTGTAACTGTTGAGGGAATGCATTCGCAGGTTGGTATTGAGCTACAGGTTCAACATTAGGTTGTCCGTAGAAACCCTGAGGTTGTACTGCTTGAGCTGGTTGGACTGCAACAGGCTCAGCTTGGAATTGAGGCTGCTGGTAAGCTGTGACTGGCTGAATTTGAGCTTGAGGCTGTTCAGCAACGAACACAGCAGGATTTTGGTAACCTTGCTCAACTCTCTGCTGCTGTAATTGCTGCTGAGCTAACACTGAAGGCAAAGCCGCGAAATGTGTTTGAGCATCGAAACCAGCGACTTGTTTTTGAGATTGAACCGGTTGGAGGATTAATGGAGCTCTGAGCTGACCAAACTGTTGGAAAGGAACGAATTGGGGCTGCAATTGAAGTTGTGCTAAGGAACTAAGGAACAATTCACCAGGGTATTCTTGTATCTTCTGTTTGGCTACTTCTACAGATACTTTAGCATCTTTGTCTGAAGATTCCAGGGTTTCTCCTTCGTTCAGATTCAGTTCTGTTGTTGATGCTTCAGTGGAAGCCTCAGTGGTTGGCTGTTCTGTGGTACTGGTGGTTCTTGGAGCAAATTGAGCGGGGATTTGTGGTCTTGGCAGACGGTTGGCTGCATTGAATTGCGCATCTTTTTGCTGTTGCCTTTCGAATTCACGGTAGCGTTGTTGTTGTTCCTGGAACTAATACAATTGATTAGATTTAAAGTTTTTCTTTGTTCCCTATTGAGCTTGTGATTTTTGCATGCAAATAATTGACTATAATCATTGCCAAATAAATAGATTTCTATATAGGTTTATTCGTGGGTTAAAGAAATAGCGCTTTACTTTGCTTACTGTGATTTTAAATTTAAATCTATATCTATATCTATACCAATATTATAAAAAGGAAATATTTGTACCTATTTTTGTATGTTTGTAATGAATAGGCTCAAAAAGTACTGGGCCGGTTTAAAAAATTATTTCACCAATAGGATGCTACATTCATCCAATTTGACATAGGCTACATTTCATTTGGAAAAAAATTAGGGATCTTCCGTAAAATTTGAACAATGTAACCGAAGGTCTAGAAAAATGAGTCTTAAAATGTCTTTCGTCGAATGCGCTGCCGAAACTATTAGCGATAGAACAAAATAATGTACAACAATATTGAAGAACATCATAATGTCTACAAAAAACTCCGCGGTAGCATATGTCCAACTATTGTAGTTATGTCACCACAACAATCCAAATTTCCAAAAATAAATAATTGTCTACCCCGCGCGAAGCAGGGACGGGCTGCTAGTTTTACATATAGTGCATTTGATTCTATAAACTTTTGATTATATATAATTACTTAAAGTGATTATTAACTATTTTAGCCACAAAAAAGAAAGCCTAATCGAACTCTGATAAAAACTACATCAATACCTGTGTCTGCTTCAATCCTTGATCCAAATTCTGGAGATCCGAGTTGAAACCAGGTCCAACATTTTGTTTTCCGTTAACAGGAGACCTTTGGAAGAAAGGCACTTCCTCCCTTTGAGGTGGTAGACCCTGAACTGAGACATCTTCTTCTTGTTGAGGATTTCCATACTCCACGCTCGGGTTGGGATAACGAGGGTCCAAGGACGCTGACGGTGGAAGGTATTGTGCTGGTTGCTGTGAATGAAATGCAAATGGATGGTAACTTTGATAAATAAACGTCCTGTGCATGGCTTCCAAAGGTATACACACGCTATGCCTAATATTACACATTCATATTTCCAGAACTTAAACTATTAATTCCACGTGGTATAATAAACTGGACCAATAAATATTTAGCTATCCCAATATGAAACAATTGCCAATTAAGCTGGTTATAGCTACACAGAACCAAAAATTCTTTATTGCCATTCCATTAACTGCCATATTCAGTACCATTTAAAGTTTACTTCAGCTATTCTTTAGAAACGATTTTGTTCCGGAAAAATATATTAAAGACTAGGCTTGGCAGTCATTCAATGACTGAGTACAGTGATATGTAATGTTAGACGGCGATAATCAACTAAATGTACGTCACTAATTTAGTCTGTGTCATCGGCAACACTAGCTGTCATGTTGACTCTGTCATCTGTCAAATGTGACAGTTTAGTAAAGTTTCCCGCGCAAAGAGTTGTAACGGGCATTCGGGCGGGAAGTTTGACGAGCATTACGCTGTTTTCGTATAAGAATTCATTTTATAATAAACTTTCAATATTAAAGTATTGAGTTTGAAACTGAACATATAACCTCTATATTAAAACAAATTTTACAGTTATTACCAAACTATATCGTACCTGGTTCTGGCCTCTCTGTGGCAGGATAAAGGCCGGTCCATCAGGCTTCCAGCCACTGGGAGCATAGGGTGCTGGGGGCTCCGCCACAGCCCCGGCCACCAGCAACGATATCACAGCTAATAACTCCTGGAAGATAAAGAGCATATTAAAGAAATGAAATTAAAGAAGAAAAGATTATCTTATGCTATAATATATAATGAGGATAATTAAATTGCATTCACTAACTAATCGAATGACATGGATAACTGCTGAGTAAAGGGTCTTGGATTTGATTCTCGGTTAAGGTTTGCCTAGAATTGTAATGAAACTCCATTACCGAATCTAACACCCCTTGTACACAAATCAATCACACAACTAAAAATCAAATCACGACTTAACTCGTCAAGTACCGTCATTATAGACACAATTATAGAACAATAGGTTGCGGTCACCGGTGACCGCTCGGTGTTTGATAGTTTAAAGGTAACACCTAAAACAATTCCTAATTCCTAAACATGGACAAACTAACTAAAACCTTAATACTGTTATATGACAGTAGAAAATTAGTCTCGAAAATTAATCTATAAGGTCAATAAATATTCGTATTGACCTTCGACCTCAGGGCAACCCTTGGGCAACCTCTGGGCACCCCTCAGGCACCCTTAGGTAAGGGTCTTAAATGAAAATTATGACAACAATAGAATAATTCAGTGAGGCTTTTAATACTTAAATAGATTTTGAATTCATTCATTTTCCCCATGTAATATTATTACAGTTGATATTTCCTGAAGCCCCTGAAGGGTAAACACAGAAGTAAGTATTCTATGTGTTGACATAGTTGTCAATCGGTATGATATTTATAGCTAACTGGCTGTTAACTTCGTCCGCGTAGAACATGTTTCCTGCTTTATCCCATGGGAGCATTTAATCGAGTTAAAGTATTCTATCACCTAAGTCAGACCATACCCTGCCTGTATACCAAATATCAGCAAAATCCATTCAATGGTTTCAGCGTGATTACCGGACAAACATCCAAACAAAGAAACTTTCATATTTATAATATTAGTGTGATCACAAGGTAAGTCGCAGTCGAAAGACACGCACAAAACACCTAAATCTAGTCTTAATACTACACCACTCATTAATTAACACGATAAGTGTGGGGGAGCCATGCTTCGGCACGAATGGGCCGGCTCGACCGGAGTGATACCGTCGTACTTGCGGCCACTCGGCCAACAAGGCAGCCGTACCTTCGTATACCTGAGCAACACCACTTATGTATTACAAGTACGATAGCAACGTTATTACTATACAATGCCTTCAACTATTACGACACCTAACCATATAATGGGTAAGCAGTAGGGTCTCACTTATGTAAGGTTTTATTGAACATTTTAAACGTGAAGGTATGTTGTTAATGGAATTTTGTATTTCAGTGTAAAAAGGATGGATGAAAATAGATATACAGAGCGGATATGAATGGGACCGTCGGTAGAGGGCGCCCTAAAAGAACTTAATGTCGTATGTGCTTACAAACATACAAGTTCACATACACATGACACCCAGACCCGGAACAACAATCTCTGAATCACACAAAGAGTTGTGCACAATCGTGCCGACAAAATTAATTTAATACCTTAATTAAACTGTCAAACACCAAGCGGTCACCGGTGACCGCAACCTATTGTTCTATAATTGCGTCTACAAAACCGGTACTCGACGAGTTAAACCGACCAGATTGACGGCATGTTAAAGAAAGGCCAAATTAAAAATACCCATAACCGACGAGCATGGATGATAGATGACTTTTGATGAATCGAAAGAGGTATGTAAGAATTCGTGGCAATTGGCGTTCCATAGTCTCTGACTACCATGGGAGACAGGCGTGAGGTTATGTATGTACGTATGTGTAGTACCTAAAGTAAGGGTTTCGAAAATTGAAGTTGGGTTTTGATTCCCGAAGTAATTATATAGTGAATGTGTTGATTTCAAATCGGAATTATAAATTAATTAAAATAGCGGGTTAAGTACCCACGTGAATATTCTCACTATATTCTTTTTTTAAACGTTTTAGCCATTTTTAAAACTTAATTATAAAGATTTTATTTAGTTGAATTTGTTATTAGTTTCTGTAATGTCTGTCTTAGTAAGTATGTATACCCCAGTCTATCCTCTTAGGAAATATTAGGAGTGATGTTACGTTAAGTATCCTGTATTATTAATTTGTAATACACACGGCTACACATCGAGCTTTACATAACCAGTATAAACTGAACGTTGAATGTGCGGAAAGATGATGCGACGCGACACCAGGATAAACTGGTTTTGTATAGATTGATGTGTGGCCGTCTGTACCTATATTGAAAACGTCAATATTATTTTACTTGACTGTAATCGTACAGAAAACCTAAGCCGCAGAATTAATTTGTATCACTTAATCCAATTTACGTAAAAAAATATAACACAAAAAAATTGTAGGTACCAAAACCACAACAAAAAAAATTAAAACACAAAAAAATACAGACACACACACATACACACAAACAAACACATAAAATAACACAACGGTCACTTTTTAAAATCGGAACGAGTAATCACCTTCATTTTCGTTGACTTTCGTTCTTATGCGACTCCTGCGCATCGCTTTTATAGACAATAGTCTTTACACATTGACATTCGAAGCGCGCACTTTACCGGCCTTAGTTGTAGGGTTGCCAGTACGAAAATTACACAGTATTTTTGACATTGCACTGTTTGATTCAATGGTTGTCATTCTGAGGCCCTGGGTTCAATTTTCGACCAGTCAATTTTGATTAGCAGCCAATTTGATTAGAGGCAATGAAAAAACAAATATAGTTATGAGAATAACATAACATAACATCAAGGGGGGTAGGTAAAGGTGCACACAGAAATAACACGCACTCTTCACTATTTCTGTTATGAGTCCCATGTAATAGGGGATGAGCCTGTTGCCATATACCGGGCACGTTTCCAGACTCCGTGCTACTACTGAGATTTTTTAAAACCTCAGTAATACTTTGCCCGACCCAGGAATCGAACCCAAGCCTCTTGCCTAGCAGTCACAGTGGGCGACGCCGATTGCTTACCATCAGGTGATCCGTCTGCTCGTTTACCGACTTATGTTATAAAAAAAACTATTGCTTGGAATCTAAAATTGGATTCAGTGTCTTAAAACTGACTTATTGAAGCTTATAAATTCATAGCAATACACCAAAATATTATTTGTGACACCCCTAGAACGTGACATACAAATATGAGTCACTGTCAGCCCTGTGCCCTGCCAATTGGATCGCTGCAGACTGCATCATTTTTGCATTAACACAGCACCGATATTCGTGTTATGTGTATGTACATCCTGGGTACATTCATCCATATTCTAGACCCATTCTAGAAGGCCTTACAATGCATCATTTAACGTAAATTATTATTATAGAGGTACTATTACAAAATAATCCGACTGCCTCATTGGCCGAGTAGGTTCAATTTCCGGGTGTTTTTTTATTGGGACAAGCCCACCACAACCTCCCAAAACCGCTGCAACTCCTGTAAGCCAGGATCTACAGTAGATACAACCATGAAAACTCCGGAACACTGAAGTCCGACGCGTCCCAGGGACATGAATAATGTCTTGGTTCCCGCAACGAAGTGAATCAGAAGATTTCCGGATCTGACAAAGTACTGCTTGGTTTTTTAAAAAAGAATGTCAGTGTTAGAACGCAGTCTGGAATTGTGCCCGGTATATGGCAATAGACCCACCCCCTATTACATGGGACTCATTACATAAATAGTGAAAAGTGGGTGTTACATTGTACAGTGGCATTAAGTGCCGTGACGTGCACCCCTGCCTACCCCTTCGAAGATAAAAGGCGTGTCATGTCATGTTTTTTTTTTATGGCATAAGCCGGTAAACTAGTATACGAATCAACTGATGGTAAGCAATCGGCGTCGCCCATGGATACCTGGAACACCAGAGGCGTTACAAGTACGTTACCGGCCTTTTGGGGATTAGGAGCTTGAGGATCGTTGGGGATTCAGGAATTGGGAAGATTGGGGAAGGCAATTGGGCCTCCGGTAACCTCACTTACACGACGAAACAACGCCTGCGTTGATTCAGGGCGGTTTTCTGTGAGGCCGTGGTATCACTCCGGTCGAGCCGGCCCATTCGTGCCGAAGCATGGCTCTCCCACACTTAATGTTATGTTAAAATAATCCTAAAAAGGTTGAATTTTTTCACAACTTCCACTTTATATTTGTAGCGCTTATGAATTTAATAGAGATGTAAAGATATAAGAAAAATCTCGTTTAGCAGGCTAGCATTTGAGGTTTAGGTTATCAGAGAGTGCAGCTGCCTTACCTACGCAAGTGGCGTAGATATATGTGAAACCCCAAAAATACTCTACCTGACCTGGGAATTAATCTTACAAATCTTCACTCAGCAGTTGCACTTTTAATGAACATTCATCTTTTTTATGTGATGAGCCGGTAAACGAGCTGACGGATCACCTGATAAAGATCCGGTAATCTCACTCACGCGACGAAACACAACGCAAGCTTTGTTTTACGTCGGTTTTCTGTGAGGCCGTGGTATCACTCCGATCCGGCAGAAGCATGGCTCTTCCACACTTAAAACTATCTACCTTGACAGCCCCCACATATTTTTTTATGTAGCACGTACCTTCATTACTGAAAGAGCAATATTTTCAGCTTCCCGTCCTGTAACCCCATAGGACTAGACACGTTACTGAAATTCAGGTCGTTGGCAAACTAGAGCGTGTCAGTACTACATAAATGATGTTTTTTTTAGTTTATCTTACGTCTTAATTCTATATTATTATTGCTATGACATGACATGTGCCTGAACTAGGTTTGAAACCTGTACCTCAGGGAATAAAAACCGCTTAGCATGGAAAACTTAAGGTCTATTTTTTTTTAAACGTTGCCCCAAACAAGGATTTTCTCCTGTGTCGTGGGTGCGCTTACAAACATACAAGTTCACATACACATCACACCCAGAGCCGGAACAACGATCTGTGGATCACACAAAGTGTTGTTCCGTGCGGGAATCGGACCCGCTCCACGTAGCACGGCAGCCGGTTGCCCAGCCACACCGAACCAACCGTGCAGTCAAATTAACAATTATATAATCATTCTTATATTAAATTATTTGATTACTCAAATTATACCTATGTATAGGAATTGAAAATATTGCGACTAAATCATCGATTAAAAGGTTTTCTAGATCAATCTTTGACTATTCGGTGTACGGTTGGTGCGGTGGCTGGGTAACCGGCCGCCGTGATACGTGTAGCGGGTTCGATTCCCACACGAAGCAACTCTTTGTGTGATCCATAAATTGTTGTTCCGGGTCTGGGTGTCATGTGCATGTGAACTTGTATGTTTGTAAACGCACCCACGATACAGGAGAAAATACTATTGTGGAACAATGTTTTAAAAACTGAGTCAGAAAAATAAAAAATGGATGCTTCGTACCCCGGAGAGCACGTATAAAATGTAATTTGAAAATGACCAAACCCAAAAACTATAGTATAGTTTTTTTGGCATATGCAAACGTAAGCATCCCTTCGGCTAAAAATAGATTTAACACGTTAAACGCCATGGGGGTCACCGGTGACCGACGTTAACGTTAACTTCAACAGTTTTTTATGGGAAGTCAAAGTCTTAACTACTACCCATTTGAAGGTCCCACTATAAAGTTCAATCACCTCTCCCCAACAGCCAACATTACGAAACTATTTCATCAAATTCGTGAGAGAAACCACACATCCTTCCTTTGAAGAAATTTATTAAATTTTCATTTAAAATAAGCGAGTGAACTGAAAATATTAAATGTGTTGGCTGTGATCCAAGCATAATATCTATCTATTGTGATATTGTGCTATTTGGCTGGTTCCCTGCATCATAAGTAGAATAAGTTCGCTCGTACACGACGTCGTGTCGTAAGCGTATCGTTATATTCGCGTAAGATGATAGAAAGGATACTTAAATATGATACCATTGTTTTTTTTTATAGCATAAGTCGGTAAACGAGCAGACAGAGCACCTGATGGTAAGCAATCGGCGCCGCCCATGGACACCCGAAACCCTAAGGCGTTACAAGTGCGTTACCGGCCTTTTGGGAATTGGGAATTAGAGGATTGTGAAGGATTTGGGGATTCGGGAGACTAGGTAGGGGCGGTAATTAATTAGGCCTTCGGTAACCTCACTCACACGACGAAACACAACGCAAGCGTTGTTTCACGTCGGTTTTCTGTGAGGCCGTGGTATCACTCCGGTCGAGCCGGCCCATTCGTGCCAAAGCATGGCTCTCCCACACTTATATATGTATATTAACATAAGGCTTTTCTCATCCTAAATATTACAAAAGTATATGTCCTACACATTTTTTTTTTATCTTCCATTCTATATACCTTATTTAATTATTTATTTATTTATATATACTTTATTGCACACATAGAAAAATTGTAAGCATTTCAATAGTAATTTGAGTACAATGGGCGGTCTTATCACACGCGGCGATTTCTTCCAGACAACCTTTCGATGGAATTTTTGAAAAGAATCTGGGAATGGGTGGTAGATGCACAATAAAAGAAAACCAAAATAGAAGAAAAACAATAAAAAACAAATTAAACAATCAATGAAACTTACAGACTTATTATAATACATAAAAGATAAAAATGGCAATACTATGTAATAAATATATACTTAAATGTAAAATGATAACTATATATAGTTACGTGTATGAGTATGTGTGTGTGTGTGGTGTGTGTGTGTGTGTGTGTGTG